GACTCCTTGGGCTCCTTGGACTCCTTGGGCTCCTTGGACTCCTTGGGATCCTTGAATTCCTTGGGATCCTTGGAATCCTTGGAATCCTTGGGCTCCTTGGAATCCTTGGGCTCCTTGGAATCGTTGGAATCCTTGGGATCCTTGAATTCCTTGGGCTCCTTGGGCTCCTTGGGCTCCTTGGGCTCCTTGGACTCCTTGGGCTCCTTGGACTCCTTGGGATCCTTGAATTCCTTGGGATCCTTGGAATCCTTGAAATCCTTGGGCTCCTTGGAATCCTTGGGCTCCTTGGAATCCTTGGAATCCTTGGAATCCTTGGGATCCTTGAATTCCTTGGGATTCTTGAATGTGTTTACGCCAGCTCATACTGTGATTTCTTAGTGCCCGTACATGTTAAATAATTTCTGAGTTCAAGAATTCCTCAAGAGTTCGGAATTCACGGAAGTCGGACAGATCTCTCCCACTTCGTCATTATGACTTGAGAATTTTCTGATAATCCTAACCGCAAGGTCATTTTAGGAGAAACACGGTTTTTCCAAAACCGACCGACTCAAATTTTGTTGATATCATACAAACAGTTGTTATCTAATGAGAACTATTTGCTCTAAAGACAATATCTTAAGCAAATTCTTCGCCAAAACTCAGTTGAAGAGAAATCCCTCTACGAAAATTTTCTGAAGTAGTTTTTATCTGTACAATATCATATCTAATTGTCAGCGAGGTCAAACCTCTTCGAATGGTAAAAAAAACATAATGTTGAACGGTCTTTTTTCTACATGGGACCTCACAAACTTGATTAACACCTTCTACTACAGACGTTTTGTGACAAGCGTGGCTTTACAATAGTTAATATTTGCTATTCATTTCATATAGAATTTTGGAGCATCTTTGCTCACAGGAAAATAATTACTATGATTTGAAAAAAAAATAATATAAGCTTAGTGGTACTATTTAAGCATAGAAAAATTCATTGGATACTGATGATAAAAATCGTCCTCTGAAGAAAATGCAGTTTCAAAACACTTACGTTTGCTCTCTGTGTTATACGAAATTTTGTATGTTGATGACCAGAATTACACTAATATATCGACGTTGTTATATACTAGAGATAAAAACAAGACGTTTCTTCGATGTACATTAATAATATAAGTTTGGCTTGTGTGCTTTCATTCGTGTCCGTGAAATAACTAATCATCAAATATGCTTGTGATACTTTGTTTATTTCATACAAGTACTATCGTCTTTTTGCTTGTTCGACCATTCATTAAGGTATATTAATGAGATATCTGATTTTTATCTCATGAAAATATTATTCTCGTTTTGCCTGTTCTATCATTCATTAAGATATATTAATGAGATACATGGTTTTTTCCCCATAAAAATATTATCGTCGTTTTGCTTGTTCTATTACTCATCGTTCGAACAGCTTAAACGATGCAAAATAGCGTGAATCGAGGACAGAAAAATTATGCACTATAACACTACTTTACTTGGTTTTTTACCATCGTTGCACAGTATCAGCAAAATATTAGCAATGGACAAGCAATACTATACCGTCCAATACCATGATCCTGATTGAACCAAGCATCAGATGTCCCATCCACATATGCGAGAAGATATTGGTTTTTGACCTTACTTCTACAAGTGTTTCATGTTCATGACCATGTATATCATCAAAGATCGAGATCCAGATGCATTTCCGGTCTCGGTATTAATATTAGTTCTCTTCTAGAATTGTTCTCGGTCGCAGTATCGACCCGGATGTCAGTTTCAGTATACGTATCGACCACCATCTTCGTTCATGTTTCCATTCTCGTCACCATGTACATCTTTGTTTCGATTATGATTGCTATTCCCGTCATAGTTCTCATTTATATTGCACTTAAAGTTGTCATCCTGTTACCAATCTCCGTGGGCATTCAACTTCAGACGCGACTCACAGTCCATATCGCATAATCTGCTACATTATCGACTTCAGGCCTGATCCCAAGGTCTATCGAGCTGATTGTGTGAAACGCGAACTCTGTCGGGTCTCACTTCTTGTCCAGCTTTCAGAGTCGATTCTGTGACCCATTCAAATTTCACTCCTGGTTCTGCATCCATTCCGGAGCTTTTCACGAATCGGTACTCATCTTCGTTTCAGCTGCGATTGAATTGCTGGTCTCAGGTTCCGACTACATTCGAGGTTTGATCACCTTCTCAATTACAGTGACAGTTTCAGACCTGACCACAGTGCTCATCTCGAACGTGTTTGGAGACGACTATCCTGGCTACGTCTGCGTAGCGTTGAGGTTTTGATTAAAAATCGCAGAAGCTACGCAGGTTTTGGTTTTAGTCGATTCACTAGTTTTAGCTTGTGTCTCAGATAGACAGCTGATCCCAATCACCAGTTCACTCACAGTTTCAGTTATGATTCAATAACTGGCCTCAACTTCGGTCTGCACTTCAGAGAGAACCTAGAGGTTCGGTCGAATTCTCAGCTATGGTGTCGAATTTGGACAAGATCTTAGTGCCCATATCGATGACAGTTTTGGGACATGGATTCTTCTTACATACTCCTAGTACTCTATCGGAAATTCGGTGTGGGTGTGCGTATGGGTGTGCGTATGGGTGTGGGTGTGGATGTGGGTGTTGGTGTGGGTGTGGGTGTTGGTGTGGGTGTGGGTGTGGGTGTGGATGTGGGTGTTGGTGTGGGTGTGGGTGTGGATGTGGGTGTTGGTGTTGGTGTGGGTGTGGGTGTGGATGTGGGTGTTGGTGTGGGTGTGGGTATAAATGTTTCTCGAAAGAACACCCACACCCACCCACCCACACCCGCACCCACCCACCCACACCCACACCCACACCCACACCCACACCCACACCCTCAAAAGTTTAATTCTGTTTTGTTAATCTCGATGTCAAATTAACAAGATGAAGTTGATCAACTTCATACAAATCAAGTCCTTTGCGAAAATATTTTAAATCATTTGGTGAAACAATTCCAAGACGATCACATGAGCTGACTTTGTAACTCCATAATTTTGTACTGAATCCATCAGTATTTAGAAAATCTACTATAAATATCCATTGTTGATTATACTTGAATATGTAATGTATTTGAAAAAATAATGGAATATCTTCTACATGTTGTAAATCGTAAACATAAACCGCATATTGTTTATAAATAATATGATTATAAATCAGTTCAGAAAATCGAAGTAACGTTTGATCAAATTGAGCTAATTGTTGTCCAAACCGTGAATGAGAAGAGTCCTGATTTTAAAATCTATTTGATGTATATGAATTTGTTTAACACCACGAGCTTCTTCGGATGTTTTCAAGAATTGACAATTTGACAATAGAAGGCATTGACGTAGTTGTTGTCGTTGAGCCAATGTCTTGGGAATGTTTTTAAAATTATTAGATTGTAGTGCTATTTGCTTGAAATATAAATGAGCACCTTCATATCGCATGCACCAGAATCTAACTGGTGACCATTTTCTTCAATGATTTTTGGATACTCAGTCACATAATGGATTTTCGGTGTCACTTTTTCTGGAAGAAGATCTACCATCATGCACTGAAAATTGATGGCCAACGTTTCCATAAAAGGTAACCAACTTTTTCTTTGTGGAAAAGCTAATATCATATCCAATAATTCACGTAAAACAAGATAAATTTTAAAAGATTGCAGTTTTTCAACAAGATCTGAGAAAATTATTGGAAATAAACGAAAAAGACAGTACTTTTGTGAAGCACTTCCAACAATATGATTATTATTAAGATTTTTTACTAGTATAGGTGGAGGTTTATTTGATGTATCGAATTCTCCATATACGAAATTTTCCATTCTATTTTGAATTCCATTGAAAGTAATTAATCGTAAGGGTGTGGGGTGTGGGTGTGGGTAGGTGGGTGTGGGTGTGGGTAGGTGGGTGTGGGTGTGGGTGTGGGTGGGTGGGTGGGTGGGTGTGGGTGGGTGGGTGGGTGGGTGTGGGTGTGGGTCTTCTCTTCAGCAAGCACACTCACACGCGTGTCCACCCATACCCACACCCATACACCCAGACCCTATATTCACCCACACACCCACACCCACACCCACACCCACACCCACACCCACCCACACCCACACCCACACCCACACCCACACCCAGCCACCCGCCACCCACACCCACACCCACACCCTTAATCTGCTTTATAGCTCAAAACTTTATTTTCAATGTCCAACATTCGAAAAATTTATTGAAATTTATTCCGAACGTTAGTAGTTATCTCATGAATCAACTATATTTTTTTTCATAGCTCTAAAGTTTATTTCCAATGTCTAACGTTCAGAGATTTCATTGAAAGTTATTCCGAAAGTTAATATTTATCTTATGAATTAATTATAGTTTGCTTACAGCTCTAAAGTTTATTTTCAATGCCCAATGTTCAGAGATTTCATTGAAAATTTTTCAGAAAGTTAGTATTTATCTTGTAAATTAATTTTAGTTTCCTTCATAGCTCTACAGTTTATTTTCAATGTCCAACATTCGGAAAATTCATTGAAAAATATTCCGAACGTTAGTATTTATCTCATGAATTAATTATAGTTTGCTTGACAGCTCTAAAGTTTATTTCCAATGTCCAATGTTCAGAGATTTCATTGAAAATTATTCCGAAAGTTAGTATTTATCTTATGAATCAATTATAGTTTGCTTACAGCTCTAAAGTTTATTTTCAATATCCAACGTTCAGGGATTTCATTGAAAATTATTCCGAAAGTTAGTATTTATCTTATGAATTAATTTTAGCTTGCTTCATAGCTCTAAAGTTTATTTTCAATATCCAACGTTCGGAAAATTCATTGAGAAATATTCCGAACATTAGTAGTTATCTCATAAATTAACTATAGTTTGCTTTGTAGCACTAAAGTTTATTTTCAACATTCAACATTCAGAAATTTCATTGAAATCTATTCCAAACGTTAGTAGTTATCCTATCAATTAACTTCAGTTTGATTAACAATCGTGAAACTTATTATTGATATCATCCTTGAGC